AAAAAAACTCTGTATAGGATCTCTCTGGGTCGTATATTTTGTTCGGTTTCAAATTAAAGTTGCAGGTGCGTAATTAATTTCAATTTCAATATTTCAAGGTTGTAATTACAATTCTTAATCCTATGTTAACTCTTATGTTATTTTGTTGACTGGCTGTTCGGAAATTAGTTAATGGAACAAATCATGGGTGTGTTTAATAAATAAGCCATTTATGTTCCCTGATACCATTGCTTCTTTTTTTGTTTTGTTTTTTTCCTTCAATGAAGAATGGTTTTTTCAATCCATTGATGGATATCTAAAAGAATTGATAATCATCCGTGAAATTTAAATGGTTTTATTAAGAAATACGTTCAAATCTAATTTCTGTGTTGTACTGGGAGTACGCTTTCTTCGCAGAATTCTGCAGGAAAAGTAGGATTTGCGATGGGATTGTCATCTGGGAGCAATGCTAGTGAAGCGGTGAAACTATGTGTATTTGATTTGAGAAGGGGGCAAAATGAAGGGCAGGAGCTGGACAAGATTCTCTTCTTCTATCCTGCTGATTTGCCATTTTCCACTCAGCTTTCTATCACTGGCCTCAGTGAAGGACTCATCACTTTCACTAGGTTATTACTTGGACGCTCATTTGTATGTGTGTATATGTATATATATAGGCGCGCACACACACACATCCTTGTGTAGTTACTTTTACATAATAGTAAGCTACATGCTTCCAAAGGGAGAAAATTCCGACCATGGTGTTATGAGAGTGCTTGATATGTTGTTTGGGGAACTTCACTTGTTTTAATGCTTTACTTTAAGTTTGTTCTGCTGAAGCTTCAGTTTTTCTGCATTAGCATGGTTGCATCGTACTGGGGTCATTTGGGATTAAGTGAGTGTTCTATGTTGAATTGAAGAGTTTGAGAGACAATTGGATTTCATCTTTCTTGTCTCTCGTTGTTGGATTGGGTTGACCTTGTGTATCCACAACAAACAATGGTATCTTGGGATTTCTACTTTAGTTCTTCATGGCTGAAGCTGCAAAGAGATTAATTCTTTTAGAACCTGTGGAGAGGACATTGTGGAGGATATACTACAAGAAGTTTATTTCTTTTGTTCCATTTTTCAACCTTGGTAATAAATACTGATCATCAACTATTATTAATGGCTTTAAGTTATTTATGAATAAAAAGAGGCAATATCCTTTGATTTGATGTCAAAAGAAAAGCTAAAAGGGGGAAGAGCCTTCTAGTCTCCTAAGTTGAACCTAGAGCATTTACTTGTTAAATATTCTTCAAAATAAAAATATGAAATTTCATTAATACTTACCATTTTAGCTAGTGCCATAAAGATTGCAGTTAACCACAGCATTGTGTATCTAAGCTCCTATCTTATATCAATCCTTATCTTTTAAGGTTTATCCTCTTTTGGCGGTGGCATACTCGAATTTACTTGTTTATATTATGAGTTGTAAGTTCTTAAGAGGAAGTTCTTAAGAGGCCTATTGGCTCTGATATCCTTAAATCTTCCATGTTCCGTGCCATATTCTTCCCAAGTGGGTTTAGCCAGGACTTCTTCCTGTTGGTCAGTCACATCAATT